GACAAGCACGGAAGGAAAAGCATGGTAGGCGTCGACGGAGGGCCACCGATGGTCCGGGAGGATCGGCGAAAACTGTGAAGGTGCCGTGATGCCGTCGAGCACTCCCGCGCAGTGGGCGGTCCGCCACTGCGAGGAGGAAACTTTCGTGGCACGAAAGCATTAGGTGGGAATTCAACATGAAGATTTTGTTGAACTTCAATCATCAAGTTGAAGCTACAAATCCCTGGAACTTGAAGAAACCAATACAGCGTGCTCCTTGGCGCCCGCCGGTCGCAGCCGCAATGACACCGAAGCGCCACTGGCGCCGCCTTGTCCGAAAATCGTGCATTGTGGTCGATTTTGAGAAAAAATTCTCTGATGACAGTCAAAATTTGTACTGCGCGCGCGGGCGCACGCGTCCGTAGGCGTACTAGGACGCCCAATAAAAACCTCGCCCCGTCCCCAAATCTAGTCTAGTTAGTCGGCATGTTGTCTACCCTAGTTAAAATAACTGGCCTTTGGTTGCTTGTCGCCTTGTGCCCACAGAAAAACGACTCGTCGCGCCCTCAAAAGAACCAGGCTTTACAAACGCTCGACGGCGAGCACACGATGCATTTCGGCCTGCACGTGAGGAGCGAATGCGTCGCGGCGCAGACCATGGAGGAGCGGGAGGCCTCGCACGTCGTGGGCCCGGACTCCGACGCCGAGCGGCTCTTCGCGGCGTGCTGCGGCGTCTGCTGCGGCGGCGGGCCATACTTGCCCATCGCGACGATCCCTTGCCGCCAGTACGCGACGTGGCATCGATGCCTCGACCTCTCGACGCCGGTGAACTTCCGCGCCGACGGCGAACGCCTCGTCGTCCGCACGCGGTCCAACGTCTGCTTCTGGGACGTCGAGGAGATCGCGGTCGGGGACGTCGAGTCCGTCGGCGTTTACGTCGAGGATACGGCCTGGGTCTCGTCGGGCGACCGGCCGGTCTACGCGCTCGAGTTCAAGGCCCCGGTCCCGGTGACGAACGCGAAGCAGCTCAAGCGGTCCATGCCGCGGAGCTGCGCCGACGACGGCGGCTGCGACCGCTGCTGCGAGACGCACCTGCACTGCGCCAAGCCCGCGGGCACGCCGCTGATGCCGCGGCCCTACTTCCCCGCGTGCTCTCTCGGCGCCGTCGTGCGCGGTCGGAGCGGCGTGACGCGCCTGAGCCGGCGGCGCTGGCTCCCGGCCGACGTCGACGCCATGGAGCGCCTCGCGTCGAGCCTCGCGGTGCTGCTGGCGCGCGCGGCGGACGACGGCGCGTCGGCCTCGTCCGACGAGTCGCCGCGACTGCCGCGGTCCGCGTCCGAGGACCTGCTCTGCCCGCGCGTCGACGCGCGGGTCCACCCGTCGTCGTCGGACGAGTCCCTCGCGTCGCGCGCGGCGCCGGTCGCGCCCTGGCGCGACCCCCTCCCGGTGTACTAATTGGTGCGCTGTCGGCGTTTAGCATATCCCGCCGGCGGGCTATGCTAGCTTCCGAAGTCACACGCAATGGGATTAG